TTTGCAAAACCCCATTTGCTTCATCATTCTGTGTGTGTGTGTGTGTGTGTGTGTGTGTGTGTGTGTGCGCGTGCGCATACCTTTTTTGAACCATTTGAGAGTATGTTGGAGAGATCATTAAACACTTTGGTACTTCCTAAGTACAAAGAAAAAATGTTTACATAGTCAGGAAATTTAGCGTGAACACAATACTGTTATTTAATCCATAGTCCATAGACTGTTTTTCCCTCCTGTTCCAGTAATGTCCTTAATAGCTTTTTTTAATACCTCCAGTTTAGAATCTAATCCAGGGTTATGTATACATTGATTTTCATTTCTCACTAATCTCCTTTCATCTAGAACAATTCTCCAGTCTTTCTTGATTTTGATATCTTTGAAAGAATTCAGGCCAGTTATTTTGTACCGCGTTGATTGGTTTTGGTTTGTTTGATGTTTTCTCATAACTACAAATCCAGTCTATGCAGTGTTGGTAGGAGCACCACTAAAGTGATGTTATGATCTTCTCAGTGCTTCCCATCAAGAGTCACATGAGTCCATTTGTCCCAGGGTTAGTGATGTAACTTTGACCACTTGATTAGGAGATAGCTCCAGGGTTTTCCACTGTGACGTTACAACTGGAAATAATTAAGTCATCAATAGGGAAATATTGTGAAACTACAAAAACATTCTGCACCTCATCAAACTTTCACGCACTAGTTTTAGCAACCCTTAATAAATCCCTAACTCCATCATTCCTTCTGCATTTATCAATTAGTTGACCTTTCACTGTGAGAGCTTTTCTGCCTCCTCTGTATGTATGACTCATCTTATGCTTTCCCTTTCCAAGCTCTGGAACCTGCACTGTCTTCAAGGAGCCCTTGACTGGCTGAATTTTTAACAAAGCCCAGGAATACATTCGTAAAGGCGAGTCCTCACGCCCAGCGATAGCCTTTATGGTCAGTTGCAGATAGCAAACTGTAGTGTCAAACTGTCCCCTCTGCAGAGAGGCTTTGCCTGGTAGCCAAATCTAAAGGAGCCCTCTGCCTCCACATCTGTTGGCCTCTATCACTTAACCCTGTTTTATTTTCTTCACAGCACTCAATCACTGTCTAAAAGTATCTTGTTTGTTGGCATATATTTGTAATTTTTTGATTTCTTCAACTAGAATATAAAAGACCTACCAGTCCTAACTCATAGCTTTATACCTAGAACCTGAGCCTGGCACAGTTAAATATATAAATGAATGAATGAATGGCATCTTTCTGCTCAAAAATGCTATGAACACACATTTGCATACCAAATTTTATATTTGTGGAAGATTTTCAAATGACATCTAACCAGATTCCCACCATTTCTTAGAAGTTTCTTGATCCTATATCCAGATAGGAAAATTCCCATGTATGGTAATGACTACAATGTCCGTGTTTTAAAGCATTTTATTTATTTGTTTGTTTGTTTGTTAATCCTCACCTGAGGATATTTTTCCATTGGTTTTTAGAGTGAGTGGAAGGGGTGGGGAAAGACAGAGGGAGAGAAACATCAATGTGGGAGAGACACATTGATTGGTTGCCTCCTGCACACGGTATGTACTGGACCAGAATCAAACCTGGGACCCTTCAGTCTGTGGGCCGACACTCTATCCACTGAGTCAAACTGGCTAGGGCCAATGACAGTGTTTTAATAAATGTTTTATGTGTTCAATATTTCTCTATCAGCCTATAATGGATTTAAGTCACCCTGTTGCTTTTGTTGTTGTTAATCCTCACCTGAGATATTTTTCCATTGATTTTCAGAGAGAATGGAAGGGAGAGGGAGAGACACAGAGAGAGAAACATTGCTATGAGAAAGACATATCAACTGGTTGCCTCCTGCACATGCCCTGAACAGGGCCAGGGATCAAGTCTGCAACCAAGGTACATGCCCTTGACCAGAACAGAACCCGGGACCTTCCAGTCCAAGGGCCAATGCTCTATCCATTGCGCCAAACAGGCTTCGGCCCTGTTGCTTTTTGTAAGTGTTATCCTCCCAAAATATCAAGCTATTGCTGTGGTTACTCTTTAAACCAATCTTTTTTCACTGGGTCATCTCTGATACCATGGTGCAGTTGGAAAATCTAATTCAAGTACTTCCAGATGAGTCATCTGTGAAAGCCATCATGTGAATGCTAATCATGAAGTTACCACACCTCACCTGCTCGGAGGTATGTGGAAGAGGATCATCAAAGGGAAAGAGTTTAAATGTGTAGACATGGCAGTAATCAGTGCTTTTCCTCTTAGTTCTTCAGGACTCATTAAATGTATTTAGAAAAATCCTGAGAAAATAAATCTAAATTAGAATTTTCCAACCAGTGATCTGTAAGGTGCAAGACATATTTTAACTGCCACACACCTGCTTTTCCTCCACAGTTTGCTTAGGGATATGACTATAAATCTGTTCTTCTTTCTCATCCCTCTCTTTTATCTTATTCCATAGATTGAAATAGAGAATGTTTAGAGTTTTCCTTTCCATAGTACTGTTTTTATCAGGAAGCATCTCCTGAAACCAGTCTCTTTCTGTCATTTGGTTTGATGTGATGGCACAACAGGTTATTGGGACTCTCCTTACCCATCTGGTCTGTCCTATGCAAAGGTCAGAGTCAGCTGGCTCCAACTCTCAACACAGCCAGCACAGAATTAAAAGCAAAACAAAACTGGTCTGGAGAATTTAACTTTGGCTATACAAGATGTTAAACATTAGGAAAAGCTGGGTGAAAGATCTACAAGAACTCTCTGTACTGTTTTTGTAACTTTTTCTCTAAGTCTAAAGTTACGTATTTCAAAATAAAACTTTTTATAAAGCCCTCTAGAACCCTCTATTTTTGCCTTGTAGATAGCTGATAGCCTGAATTTCACTAATAATTCATTATAACTGAAATAAATGGCGTGAAGTTCATAAATAATTCACTTTAATCTTGCACTAACTTTTTCAACTATTTTTCCTAACATCCTCAACTCCTGATCACATAATGCCTGAAATTCATTTCTATAGTTTGACACTTGATGCTGGCCATCAGTTTCTGAACTTTGTCTGCTTTTCTTAAGAAATCTTTAGTTTTAGATTATTCAGCTCACCCATCTAATATGGGCCCAGAATCCTTCCTTAGATGTAGGTCAGGCTTCCTGGGCTCACAACTGGACTAGTCAAAGTTAATCTTTCAGAGAGCCACCATGGATGCCCACCACTTTCAAAGCTTACAGGTGTTCCCCTCAGAAAAGTGAGCATGGTCAGCTTCACCTTTTGCTCTCTTCCTGTCAGAGACATCACTGTTAGTCTTCTTTCCAAGGTCAGAACTTGACCCCGGGAGAAGGTTGACCTCCAGTATCTTTCCCATTAGCTTGACCACTTAATCCCTAAGTCAAATTGACCATAAGAGGGAGCTGTGCCCTGGCCCATGTGGCTCAGTTGGTTGTTGTCTAGTACAATGAGAGGTTGCTGGTTCAATTCCCAGTGGGGCACACACCTGGGTTGTGGGCTTGATTCCTGGTGGGGGGCATGCAGGAGGCAGCCAATTGATATTGTGCTCTCATCTTGATATTTCTCTCTTCTCCCTTCCTCTCTCTCTGAAACAAAACAAAACAAACAAAAACAGTAAAAAACAATTAAAAAAGAAAAGGGAGTAGGAACCTTCCAGTTCAGGCATTTGTCTTCCAAACTCCCAACTACTTGCCTAGTCTGTTCAATGGATCCTTGCTCCAGTTTCCCCAGACATAGACTGCTATACTACATTCTTACTGTTTAAAAAATTAGTGACTTCTCACCTCTGAAGTAACATGTGCAAATAAAAAATTAAAATACCCAAATCACCCATAATTCCATGAAGCAACAAAAAAGAAATAGCGACTGGGAATTAAAAAGAAAAACATAATATATTTATTTATATTTATATTCTGGTATTCTTATTCTTAACTCAATAAAAAGGTATCAGAAACTTACATGAAACTTCTAACAACATGCACAAGAGTTAAACATGCCCTTTAATGTTGGGAACAAGTCAAGGATCGCTACTATACTGCTAATATTTAAAATAGTGTTGCAGAGACGAACCAAGATGGTGGTGTAGGTAAACACTGGTACTCGTCACCTCCCACAACCACATCAAAATCATAACTAAAATACAGAATAACCATCATTCAGAACTGCCTGAAAGCTGGCTGAATGGAAGTCTTACAACTAGAGAAATAAAGAAGAAAGCACAATGAGACTGGTAGAAGGGGCAGAAGTGTGAAACGGGCTGGTTTGACCTCCACATGTGGTGTTTTTTTAACCAGTAGGGATATCTCAGCTGTGGAGGTTTCCTGTGAGGAACAAGGGGTCCCAGCCCCACACCATAGCCCCATCCCAGGGTTCCAGAGCTGGGAAGAGAAGTCCCCAGAACTTCAGGCTGTAAAAACCAGCAGGGATTGTGGCTGAGTGACACAGAGGCTGGTGGAGACCCAGGCAGTTCCTCTTAAAGGGCTGGCAGACAAGCTTACTTGGACTCACTCCCTCTGAGCTCCAGGGCTGGGGCAGTGGCTGTGGGGATCCAGGGAAATACGGGAAGGAACTGCATTGTCTAGCATTGGAGCAAGAATGCAGAGACAGCTTTCTTCTGGACAGAGGTGCTCGCAGGGTCATTGTTCCTATAAGGAGACTTCCCCCATCACAGAGCTGACTGGCAGCCATATCTGAGGTTCCATCAGAGTGGCTCACACAGGAATAGTGGCTATTAACCAACCATCAAATAAAAATGCATAACAGCCCTAGTTGGTTTGGTTCAAGTGGATAGAGTGTTGGCCTGAGGACTGAAAGGTCCCTGGTTCAATTCCGGTCAAGGGCACATGCCTAGGTTGTGGGCTCGATCCCCAGTGGGGGGCGTGCAGGAGGCAGCCGATCAATGATACTGTCTCATCATTGATGTTTTATCACTCTCTCCCTCTCCCTTCCTCTCTGTAATCAATAAAAATATATTTAAAAAATTAAAAAAAATGCATAACAGCCCCAAAGGTGGAAAACAATATATTAATTTATTTCCAAGAAAACAACATATAACAGCATCAAAAACAAAGACAGATTCAGTAGTTTTGGGTCGTCTCCTTGGAAAGGAGAAAGCCACTAGTCCAACACTACACACTTCCAAGATTAAAGTATTAAAGACACAGGAGAGGTGACTAGCAATGGACATGTAAACATCTATTCCAAAAGATTTCTCATTCTATGTGAGAATATCCAGTGTAAAACATTTCTTCTTCTAGATGGTGTCATTTAAGTAAGTTGAAAAATGACTTTGCCATTAGCTCTCAGTGTGTTCCCTAACCCTCAGCCCTTTACCACCCAATGCACTTCCATCTTTTTAAGCAGCAGGAACAAAGAAGGCTTTATTTCAGTCATTCTCTTTAAATAAGATTAACATTCAACAGGCACAATTATAGGAAAAAAAGAAAAATTGTGTTAATTAAATGCATCATTAGTTGAAGTAACTGTTTTTCATGAGGATAAATATTAAGGAGCTCAATGGATTGCGGTTCTCAACCTGTGGGTCGCGACCATCAGAAAACACATATAGCATATCAGATATTTACATTATGATTCAGAACAGTAGCAAAATTACAGTTATGAAGTAGCAACGAAAATAATTTTATGGTTAGGGGTCACCACAACATGAGGAACTGTATTAAAAGGTCGCGGCATTAGGAAGGTTGAGAACCACTGGATTAGAGGAATACAAAAGTAGACTTCACACTTTTCTGAGGTGACATGACATTTTCTCAATATTAACACTGAGATCATTCTTAAATATATATTTTATTGATTTTTTACAGAGAGGAAGGAAGAGGGATAAAGAGTCAGAAACATCGATGAGAGAGAAACATCGATCAGCTGCCTCCTGCACACCCCCCACTGGGGATGTGCCCACAACCAAGGTACATGCCCTTGACCAGAATCGAACCTGGGACCCTTCAGTCCACAGGCCGACGCTCTATCCACTGAACCAAACCGGTCAGGGCTAAGATCATTCTTAAAACCTACCTTACCTGGCTATATTTCACCTTCTTTAATATTCCACCCCAGGAAATGAACTAAGACCAGTAGGAGAATCCCAATTGTCAGACAGAGAGCTTGTTTCCTAATGCTTAGTAACAACTTCTCTAAGCTTCACTCACTTCATCTGCAAAACAGGGGTATGAGGACCTCACAAGAGTGCTGTGAGGTTTAAGTGCAGTGAGCTAGCAGAATGTCTTGGACACATAGGCTTTTTTAGCTTCCTTCCCTTCTCTCTTTTGAGTGATCTCTGACTTAAACCTCAGTTTGTAATTACTGAGATCCTTGGTTCGATATCACAATCTACAGTCTACATGTGAATGTATTAAAATACAACCATTATCTAAGGTTCTCTAGAGCAGTCTATGCAACCTCCACATTACCAAGATTTTTAGAGTGAAAAAGCTTGTGTCTTACTTTTCCCTCTTTGTCTCAGCATGTGTCTGGTGTATAGTAGACAATAAATATTTACTGACTGCATGCTGAATGAATTGGATGAGGGAATGGACAAGAGATAAATGGCAAGGGATGCTTACCCATAATTGAAAGCTCTTAAAAATCTAGGCATTCTTATCAGCACCAGACATTGTTAAGCCACTCAGAGAACACTATAGCATTGTTAAAGCCTCAAGGATAGATTTGGTCTCCATTTTGCAGTTAAGATAACTTTGGTGGGGGTGGAGGGGGGTGGCAGAAGAGATTGGTTCATTCTGAGGTATAAGAGACTTGAGACTAGATCCATGCAATACCACCTCTCTTCTAGGAGTTTCTTCATTCTGTGAGAACTTTTCAGCGTTATCAATGAAAAATGATGAAGGGGGATCAGAGCACATTCTGATATAATCGAGAAATGTTCTGCTTGCCTGGGGTCCTTTTACTGAAGCAGCAGGCAGTGACTGCTTAAAGCACATTCTGCCTCCTGTTAATGACTTTATACAGAACTTCAGCAAGAAAACTGAAAATGCTAGTGCTAAAACTCAGGAACAGGATCTAGTTCTTCAGTTCTAGTAGCTCAAGTTTGAAAGGAGATCGGTGAGTTATCCAGAAAGCTGCTTGTACATCTATGTACAGTTGAGCAAAGAAGAGTGGTGTTCATTAATATGTGGCTATAGGTCTGTTATAAAAGATTCCCTCTTCAAAGAAACCCAGTTCTTCTTTCCTAAATCATATTACATACACTTCTCCTTTCGATTAGAACATTTATATATAGTGAATATCTGGTGCAAAGATGTGACAATAGTGAAAATGATCATTGATCAGAACAACAAGCTGGCACAGAGGTGAGCATCAGGAAGCAGCCAGAGTGGACAAAGGGCCAGGACCGCTCTGCACAGCCTCCTGTTATTGTCCAGTGGATATTTCAACATATAGTAGTGGAGCCAGATCCTGAGGTCATGACCTCAGTCCTGAAACTGTTGGCCAAGGTGAAGTCCTCTCTCAAAAGCTCTTCTTCCCAACAGCGACTTCCCTTCAATCACAAGTTGCAGGCGATCAAAAATACCAGCTGGGTTGTACTGCAGTTTCACTCTGATTTAAGGTTCTTTCTCGAAGTCTCAGTTCTAGGCATTCCACAGTAAGCGGGTATGTAGTAAGTTCAAACTTGTTAGCAAAAAGGCTCGGCGAATTAATCAACCACTTTAAGTCTCCATTTCCATAGATACAAATGCCACGCACGTAGTGGCCTGCAAAGGAGAAAACAAAAAACATCAAACATGCTTGCTTTCAAAAGTCAGGGGCCATGAACTTGCAATGGTCCAGTTACTGCCTGACTACTGAGTAGCCAACACTGGACCAAGTGCTATGGAATTCTAATGAAACATGATTGTGTAGGGCCAGCCTACAAAGAAGTTCAACCGTTTATGGAAAGACAAAGGGCATAAATATGTCTTTGAAGAAAATGAGAGTTAAATAACACAAAGCAATAACACACTAGGCATCATGAGGCAATTCATGTATTATCTTATTAAGAGTTATGGATGAGAGGTTCTAGAAATGTGAAGATGGCTTAATGGGTCACACTGGTCAGGCCTCTTCCCTGAGCTCCAGCCTAGTCTCTCTAAGTGCCTACTTTATACCCTCTCTTAGATAAGTAATAAACCTAACCAATAATAACATGTCAGGACTGAACTCCTTAGTCCTCTCTAAGTCTTCCCCATTGAAATCCACAGCAATTCTATTCTCTGATGATTTCAGCACTTCTCCCTTCTCTTTCACACTCCACATCCAACTTCTCAGCAATTCTGTCAGTTCAATCTTCAAAATATTAAAATAAAATTTGACTACTTTTCACCACCTTCACTATTACCATCCTGGTCCAAGTCACCTCCATCTTCCTGTCTTGAGCTGTTGTAATAATAATTGGTTTCACTGACTCCACCTCTGCCTGTTAGTAATATTCTCAGCATGATAGCCACAATGAGTTTTAAATGTAAGCAGACCATGACTCCTCTGCTTAAGTGGCTTCTCATCTATGTGGAACAATAGCCAAAATCCTAGCAATGGCATTTAAGACTTCTCAGAGTTCGGCATAGCTCAGTGGTTGAGTGTCGACCTATGAGCCAGGAGGTCACAGTTTGATTCCCCGTTGGGGCACATGCCTGGGTTGCGGGTTCGATCCCTAGTGTGGGGCATGCTGGAGCAGTCGGTCATGATCTCTCTCATTATTGATGTTTCTATCTCTCCTCTCCTTCTCTATGAATCATAAAAAA